CCTCAGAAGCACATCTTTTCCGCTGCCTGGTGCCCCGTGCCTGTCCTTCGTCCCTCTTCCAGGCCGAGGCCAAAGCGCCGGCGTGCCTTCCTGCCTGACTGGGAGCTAACTGATGGGATGACAGAAGGCCCTGAGGGACCCTCCAACACTGGTGCTCTGGCAATCAGCCTGCTCCATAGCAGGGGGAAAGTTTGAGACGGAGTCTCAGATTGTGAGATATGGAGTGAAGGGCTCAGGTTACAAGCAGCCCCGACCTGGTTGGGTATCAGGAAAAAGTCCCGGACTGTCAGAGCAGCATGCCAAGATCCAGTTGCCCTGGCAGTCTGTGGATGCTGCAACGTGCAGGCATGCGAGAAGCAACTGGGCAGCCGCCTGGGAGGGAGGACTCCCCGTGGAGACTGGCACCGAGCAGGGAGGTGGGACCGAAGGACCTGCAGAACTGCCTGACCTGCCCTTCCAGGACGCCCCCTGGCAGGGCTGTCCTGCAGTGCAAGAACAGGGGGTTCCAAGGGACTGAGGGGGCCGAGCCCGAAGCCCCGCTCAGGGCAGGAGTCCAGCTGGAGCATCACTGGCAGGTGGCTGTCCAGATGCCTCTTGCAGGCCTCCAGGGGCAGGAGGGCAGCGCAGGTGGGGCAGCTGGAGTGGGGGGGAGGGCAGCAGCAAGGCAGGCACGGGAAGGGACGGCCTTCCTGCAACAGCCCTGCAAGGGAAGCCGCTCCGCCCAGGAGAATTCGCTTTCATCTGCTCCAGGTCAAGGCATTCATTTAGTCCAGGCTCAGCACTCAACAGCACTGTGCATCAAAAGGAAAAGGTCGCTGGGAGTTAATGGCCCAGGCAGCTGATCCCACTGGGGACGGGCGGAAGGTGCCCCCCTGCTGTCCCAGTGCCGGGAATGTTACCCCTTTCCCTCTGTGCCGGGGCCGCTGCAACGGGGCCTCGCCGGGCCCGCGTCTCCCGCGATTCCGACGAGCAGTTCTCCCCGTCCCGCCGGGCAACGAACCGTCTCCTGGGCATGTCCCTAGCGAGGCATTTCGGCTCCTCTCTGCTCCAGCTCCGGCCACGGGGGGCCAAGCGATCGCGCCCTTCCTCGTGGAGAGGCCGCCCCCGATCGCCTTCCTGCCCCGGAGCTGCACGGAGCTCCCGAGGGGGCAGGTCGTGCAAGCGCAGCTCTGCGCGGGGCGGGAGGGGTTGCTGCGCCCCGTCCTTTCGTGGGGGGGCAAAAGAAAGTCCTTCCCCTCCCGCCCCAAGGAAGGCGCCTGCCGGGCCCGGCCCACGGCCCCAGGGTCGCCCGGGGCTGCATCCCTCTCCGCGGAGGCTCCCGAGAGGGGACCGCGCAATGGGGCCGAGCCGCGCTCTGCCCCTGGAGAGGAGGCATCGCGTCCCCCGAGCAGCCCGCCCCTTCCGATGCCCGGGAGGCTGACGGGGCCCCGGCTCTGCCCCAGCCCCCCCGCCCCGCCCCCCCTGCCCGCCCCGCTCACCCCACGGGGCCGCCTCCTCCCGGCCGAGGGTCCCGCCGGCCGGTCGCGCCCCGGGCTCGCCAGGGAATCGTCCAGGAGCCTCGTCCCGCCGCGCCGCTTTCCTGCTTCTCTCCGACTCTCCGGGGCGGAAGCGACGCCTCTCCTGCCCGCCCCCTCCGGGAGGAAGGCAAAACCCGGATCGCGGTTCCCCATGGGCGCTCCGATTCCCAGGATTTTGCACAACACCATCTCCCGAAAGACTTTCACCCTAATAGTGGCTTCGTAGACGCCGTACTATTTATGCTGTATGAGCTACTGCTTTCTGTGCGGCTGTTATTCTGGGTTTTTCTCTCTGGTTAGGGCTAATCCTTCCCCCTGCAGGGAAGCGCTTTTCTCCTCTTCTGTCGATGGGTTGTGTAGGAAAGATCAATTCCTTATTTCTCTTTTAGTTTCTCAATGCATAAGGAATATACTCGATGCTTGAACAAAGCAATATTGATTGACCTCTTTGGCCCTCAAAGCCTTTGGAGAACTTCCAGAATCCGGAGGCCGCGGCTGCCGGCGCTCTGGGACACAGAGGCTTTTCCTTTCCGTGCCTTCCCAGCTTTCTGCCACACTTATTATATTTCCTCTGCCCTTGGAGAGCTCTCTCCCCCTTCCTGTTCTTTTGTTTCTGTTGAAAGGGCACGTGGAGCCCTATAATTCTCATGGCCATTCCAATACCCTGCTTGAAAACAAGGCAAAAGCCAAGTCCTCTGCAACCAACCAGAGTTACCGGCCAAAACAGGTGGTTTCTGCAGCGCCATGTGCTGCTCCCTCGCTTTCAGTGCCTTGAATGGAGAGTCCCTTTCGCGCTTCGCAGGGGGGATTTCGCAGCCCGCCTGTCACTGGGGTGCTTCACCTGCACTGGGGCTCAGAAGAACGCTTCTCCCTCCCTTTACCCGGGCAGGAAACACAAACACACCCGATTTGTATGAAGGCAGCTCTGTAGCACAGAAATACACAGACAGGGCCCTCCCCACCACTGGCTGAAACGCCACAGGGACTGGCTTCGCATGACGCATCCTCCCGCCTGGCTTCAGCATGGCTTGGCTTGGATGCCTGGGGGTTGCTTTGATCACCCTTGCTCCAAGGATCACCCTCTTCTCTGAACCCAAACCATGCCTTGGGCTCCCCAGGGAAACCAAGGGGGGGTCTGCTGGGGAAGGAAGGTGCTGGTGGGACTGGCGGTTTCGGGGACAGGGGGGCCTCAGGAGCAGGAGCCTCAAGCAGGAGGCTCTGGAAGCTTCACCCTCCATCTCGGCAGCCTGAGAGCAACGCCAAGGACAGTCCCTGCCCCTCCTGCCCCAAGAGGTGCAAATCTGGGTGAAGGGACTTGGATACAAGATCTGTGTCTGTGCAGTGACAGTGGAGGGGGGTTTCCTCCTGAATCATCGAGAGGCCGAGAGCGGGGAAGAGGGGTGCAAAGTCTCCCAGAGGTGCATTTCCATCATCTGGCCAGAATCAAGACCATGGTCATAAAGCGCGTGACATCATCTACTGGACCAATGCCAGGATCCGTGAATTGGACGTTCCATGTAATTTATGCATCTTCGTATAAATAGAGTTGTCCCTGTCAGGACTGGTTGCATTTCATCCCCATCTCCTAACACATTTTGTTCCTTTCTCTAAACTCTTCATTGTCTCTTGTCTTTTCTGCATCCTTCTGTGCAGCTGTGGGATCCCTCCCCGACTCCGCTTTCCTGGGAGTCCCGCAGCCCAGATGTTGCAGCTGTTCCCGCCCCCCAGGCCCTGGGGCATTTCTCAGCCCCGCAGTGGGCGCCTGTTGGCGGGGGGGGGGGGGAGCAGAACGGCGCTGCATTCCAGCTCTGCTCGCCCTGCGGGTTCGAACAGCACTGGCAGCCTGATCCTGGCTCGGGGGGCGCATCTTCCACCCGCCACTCGCGGGGTTGGCGCTGGCATGGAGCTGCCCACTGCCGCCCCTGGAGCTCTTTCTTGGGCACAGTTGGAGCGCCGATCCCATCAGCTGGTGGGTGACGCTGGGCCTCCCCACAGGCTGGTGCGGCCACAAATTGACCCAAGTCCGCCCCGATTCCGACCCTTGACGACAACACCCCCTTCCTTGATTCAGAATGCTCACTACTCTTCCCAGGCACCGGGGGACTTGGTCCGAGAGCTGCCCGCAGAACTCCCGGTGGGAGTGGCAGCTTTGCCGGAAAATATGCCCAGGCGGCCCTGTGCCTGGGCCAACAGGAGCATGGGGGGGGATGCCAGTCCACCTCCAAGGCAAGGGCCGCCTGGGGCCGGCGGTGGGGCTTTGCATCGTCCTTCCCTCGTCATGCAGAGAGGGGCCGGCCTCTGCTCCAAAGAAATCCGGTGCACTGTCCCTGAGCTGGGTGTGATGCTCTGCTCGTAGGAGGAGCAGCTGGCGCTCCCTGGAAGGAGGCTGCCTGCCGTTTTGGGGTGCGACAGGAGACGCGCCAAGGGGGCTCAGAGCTCTTCCCTTCCGTGCCGTCCGGTTGCACAGGTGGCACTGCCAGAGTGGCTCTGGCTTCGGCTCCCTCCCACCCAGGAGGCTGCATGGTGCTCCCTGGGCTGCCTTGGGAAGCACTCGCAGCTGCTCCAAACGAGCCAGTGAGACGGACGGGTCGAGAACTGGCCGGCGCAATATTGTGGCCATCGGGGCATGGACAGCCTCGCTCTCTTCCTCTTGGAAGCTACCCCAGATAATCCCGTGCAGGTTCAGACAACCTGCGAAGCCACGTGGGCTCACAAGGTGGCTCTGTGTGTCGTGCGGATCCGGGGACAAGAGCTGGACGGGCAGAAGCCGTCTTGGACTCTGCTCTCCCGAAAACGGCTCACACGACATCTTCCTCCAACGTGCTTCAGTGCCCCTTGGGTCAGTGGACGGGGCCAAGCCCCCCTGCCGGAAGAAGCAGCCAGAACCCTGAACGGATCGAAGGAGCAGGAGGGAAGCCCACCCGAGGCATGGGAGGCAGCCGCCCCCCCAGGACCCCTCCAGGAGGGGCAGTGTCACAAAAGAGCCGCGTGGTTGCAGGGGGTGGGGGTGGGTTGCGCACTCCCCGCCGGGTTTCCTTCCCCAGAGGAAGTGAGCTGTCGGTCGGAAGGGTGGGTCCAACGGGGACAGTCGTGCAGGAAGAGCAAGGAAGGGCCCCTGTCCCAAGGCAGCATCCCACACCTGGAAGGAGCACCTGGTGCCATCTTTGCTTTCCTTTTGCTGCCCGGCAGAAACCTTTGCACCTTCTGGACATTTCAGTAGATAACTACTCANGGTTTCTTTCCAATTGAATGCATGGATCCATGGCTGCCTAAGTAGGAACCCCCCATGTTAGTTTCCTTAGGGTTATACAGAATGCACAAAAGGGGAGTGAATAGAATACACAGGAAGGGGATTGGTTTCCTTGATATGGATAGGAAAGTGATTGGACATAGGTCACAGCACCATAACGAAAAGTTACATTTCACTCTAATTAGATGCCTTTGACAGGCCTTCTTAACCAAAGTTGCCTTGAACAGGCTGGCCAAGTTAAGTAAACAAAAAGGTCGCATCTGTGAACTTACAGGGTTAGGGAGGCACTTTAGCAAGCCTGTAACACACGGCGATTGCACTTTGACAGTTACCCACTACCCGAGTGGGGTCCTCTGGTCTCCACCACCGGACACCGAGGCCTCTTTTGAGGTGTTTGAGGCATGGCAGTGGGGTGGGGTGGGGTGGGGTGGTAAGAGCTGCTTTTCTGAGTACAGCTTTCCCTGCTTTTACCATCCCACCAAACTGCCAAGTGTAACATGCCTCTGCGTGTATCTGAGTCAACACAGTCAGGAAAAGCCAGGGCTCGGACCACTGAAGGTGCCCCCCCCCCCCCCGGGGTGTTTAGTCCACAGGGATTGTCATCGTATGAGTACTCTGTATACTACTCCACTCATGACAACAGCCTCTGTTTCCACCATGCCTTACCAAAAATGCTATCCCACCAGTGCATGTATATAACTGTGGTGTTTTTGCTCTGTGACCTCCCTCTGGCTCGCCATTTTTGAGGTACTTTGGGGTGTCGCAATTGGCTCCAGCTTCTAGCGAAGGACAGATTCCTCCTGACCGGGGAGACAGGCCGCCCAGCCCTGCAGCTTCACCTTGAAGGTGCAGACAGCCTGTGCAGGTGAGGGCCGTTTGGATGAACACAGAAGCACAAGAGCAGAGCGACTCCGAAGGGACCCCCTGGGGCAACCAGCCTGACCCCCGGCTCCAGCCAGCTCTGTTCATGACATGCCTGAGAAATACTAGAATAATTGTTGGCAAGCTCTGCCAGTAACAGCCTCAGTGGGAGAACCAAGGAAGCAACCCTCCCAAGCCACTTTGACCAGAATGAAATGTAGAGCAGCTCGTAAAGCATGGAGCTTTTAAACGTGATGCGCCAAAGAAACGGTTTTGTCTTCCTCAAGTGTTGCAAACCCCGTCCTGGCTCGCCAGCAGTGCAATGTCTAGCAATTTTGTGTGGCAAGTTGCTGTGGTTGGGCTTTGTATGTCTGAAACGGCATCAGCTGCTTCACTACAAACTCTGGGTGCAGATACAGCACTCTAATGCCATGGTGAGCTGGGAAAACTCCAAATGGTGGAAAATGGCACAGAGAAATGAATACCCCACCCCTCTCTTTGACAAGGTCTTCCACCACTGTTTGAACTACTTCTCTGCAGGTAGGGCAAGCACCCCTGGGGAATTCTGTAATAATTCAGAGATTGGGGGCAAGGTATCCAGTGCCCTATCCT